TAAAATGTATTTTTTCACATTTTAAAGGTTTGAACATAACTAAATTTTATAATATATGTTAAAAGAACTCTGGGCTGCAAGAAGAGGAGTGAGTTATAATAGAGCTGATATTGCTGTTCATATGTGGATATAGCTGAATAGCAAATACAAATGCTATTTGATTATCGACTGAGTTGAGTTTTCTGCAAATGTTAACATTAAATGAAACTGAATTCTAGCTTAAATTAAGATCACTGGTATTACTTGAAATGCACTCTCAAATATTTCACTTATACTATTAAAAGAAAAAGCTACTTGCATGCAAGGAATTGCCCATCATATTCAATGTAATTAAAGGGAGCAGAAATAACCAATTTCCTGCAATAGATAACATATTTTTAAATTCTAAAGGGTTAGCATTCATGATCTGAACATCTCATTGTCAAAATCTCCCAGCTGTTTAATTTCCAACAATCTGTTGTCAATTAAGGGGAAATAAAATCCTGGATTTCACCAGAGAAAATACAGGCCAAACTATAATATTCTTTGTTTAGTCTCAAAATTATACTACTCACACCCTGAAAGTACCAAAGGAATCAGGAATAAAAGTAATCTACTCTCTGAAGCATCACAAACTTCTAAACACATAATATAGAAAAAAAGCATCACATAAGAATTCTATACTCTGAAGCATCACATTCTTTGAAGTTACATATAATATAAAACTTCATCAATGTAAAAAAATATAAATTTTACACTCTATTCTAATCATATAGAAATAATATCTCAAATGCAAGCACATGAATAGATGAAAATCACAATAGGAGAATTTTTTCACAGTGTCAGGAGCAAGCACAGGGTCTCATACATATAAGGTGTTCTTAAACACCTACTGAAACTACTGAAACACATCTCCTATTGCAGAAACGTGCATATGGCATGGAAAGATGGCACCTCTGGAAAGACGCTGTTCATTCAATGAAATATTTTATACCATCAACAATGATACCATAACTACTGTTAATGGTGCCTGCAAATAAAGGATCATGGTTATTACACTGACAGGCATCACTTAGTGAGCACTTGCCAAACAGTTTGGTATCGGCTGCCTATTCTCTCTAATCCTCATGACAACTCCATGTGGGAGGTACACTTAACAAATCCCACGTTACATGAAAAGAAATTGTGGATTAAGGAGACCAATGATTTCTCAAACCCACTAAGTATCAAGCTGAGCGTGGAGCCAGCACTGTCTGAGTCCAGAGCCCATTTGGATTTCAGGGTATTCTAGTGCTTCTCCCTACAAAGACCCACCTCAAGCCCCGCCCTGCCATACAAGCATTAATAACCCTCCACAAAGCTTAAAGACAACCAGCATGGGTTCAAGGTGTAGGGTCCCTCTCAGCCCAAACATCCCAAATTAATCCAATTCCACTTCTTAGATGACTGCCACCATTTTCTCAAGCTGGGCCCCCAAATTACTATCAGCCCTAATATTAAAACCATCAGTCAAGTGATCATGTCAACCTGGTAACAAAATCCACAGGTCAGTGTATCAGCTTAGCAAGAAACAAGAGTCTATTCTCTGATGCGAGGTCAGGCCAGAAGGGGCCAAAGGCTTCCTTCCCTTCGAAGTGCTGCTTCCTCTCAGTTAATGGAAGTAGAGGCTCCCGGAAAGTAAGGGAGAGACTGGCATGCCAGTCATCTTCTGGGGGTCACTCTTGGGGACACTCACAGCTTTTCTTTGATCAGACTTTTGCAGGATGACGGACAGGAGCTTGTGAGTTTTACCTCATCCTCTGGACATGTGCTTTAGGACAAAGACTTATCTCCAGTATAAAATCCTTCTCTTGAGCTTTTCCTTTTTCACAGAGAAAGAATTTCAGGTTTGACAGTGGGAACAGACTAGCACCATTACTGCGCATGTGAGAAAACTCATAGTTGAGTAGATGAGGTAAGACCAGCTCAGAACTAACTGCAGTAACAAACAATCTTGGAACACAGAGGAGAGCAGGACTAAGTTCTCAAAACTAGGTAAATAATAAACTCAGCTACCTTTGATTAAGCAGCTGCTAGGTACCAGTTACTGTATCAGCATTTAGTATACATTATTCCCCTTAACCCCCTTACCCACTCTGTCACATATGCTCTGTTTTATTTCCTCACTTTTTATATGAGGAAGCAGGTAAGGAGCTCATGAAAGGTCACATAAGTAATTTCCAAATTAGTTAACACTACTGGCCCATATCAAAACTCATGCTCCTTTTAGCACAATTGATAAAGGAATTCTTCATGGGAGAATTAGAACTGGTTTGAAATTGAACAGATGAAGCTAAAAAGGAAGAATAACCCAGGCAGAAGGCCAGTGAGCAGGAAATCAGAGGCAAGACAGAGCAGGAGGGAAGATCACACACTGGGTGTTAGGAGACCTGGGCTCGGGTCTGGAGATGACCACTGATGGTGCAATTCAGCTTTTCCTAACCTATGGACCTCAGTTTCCTCATCACTCGGAACTACACAACCCTATTGGAAAGGATGTTCTGTCAAAGATAACCTCTGGCTTAAATGCTGACACTCCATGGAGGCTCTGCCGAAGAGTGCTTAAGAGGAGGTGACAGGTGTGGGGCTGTGGATAGAGCATTTGCCTTGCCTGTGGCCAACCTTGGTTTTAGCTGAGCATCCCATATGGTCCCCCTATCCCATCAAGAGCAATTCCTAAACACAGAGTGAGGAGTAACCGTGAGCACCACCAGGTGTGAATCGCCCATTAAAAAAAAAAAAGAGGAGGTAATACGTAGATTCTACTCTGAGTGCCCAGCAGAGTGACCTCTAACAAACTATATCTCTGAGACTCAATTTTCCACATCTGTAATGTGGAGGTAACATCAGTGACCACTTCATAGGGCTACAGTGAAAGCTAATGAAGCTAGAGGCATAATACCCTTAGCAAAACTATAAGTGGTCAGTAAAGAGTGCATCAGCAGCTTGATGGCACCTTCAGACTTCCAGATACCCCAAAATTTCTGCTGTGCTTTTGGCCAGACCCCAAAAACTTGGGGAAAAGTTTACCAACAAAGTAAACAGCCAAAAGTTAAGTATGTGGGAGACACACCCACTAACCACCTCCAGCTCAGCTATATAACTGGAGGCATGGCCTCTCTAATTCCTGATCAAACTGCTTAATGGCCATGATCCAAGAGACTCAGAAACAAATCTCAAAACCCAACAGCTTTTGGCAGAAACGCATCCAGTCCCTGCAGTAGGTTACTGACATTGGGCAACCCCAGGTGGGAACAGGTTTCGTGCCTTGGCCTGTTCCCCCTGGCGGCCCAGTGGCCACCATCCTCCAGAGGCCACTGGACAATCAGGTTTTGGCCCACAGTGACAAGACACATGGGGCCTTACAGGATGGGGGTGGAGCCAACTCTTTCCTCCCCGTCCCAATGAGACCCGAGTGGCCGCCCATGAACGGCCTCTCTGGCTCCTGATCAAGCTGCTTAACGGCCATGATCCCAGAGACTCAGAAACAAATCTTGGAACCCAGTGGCTTTTGGCAGAAATGCATCCAGACCCACAGTAGGTTACTGTTGCCAGACCACCCCAGGGGGGAAAGGGTGCTGTCCCTGCACCCGCTTCCCCTTGGCGGCTCGGTGGCTGCCATCCTCCAGAGGCCATTGGACAGTCAGGTTTGGACCCTTAGTGACGAGACATGTGGGGACTCATGGGATGGGGGGTGGAGCCCACCCTTTTTTCCCCCACCCCAACGAGACCCCAAGTCGTTGCCCACAAACGGCCTCTCTGGCTCCTGGTGAAGCTGCTTAATGGCCATAATCCCAGAGACTCAGAAACAAATCTTGGAACGCAGTGGCTTTTGGCAGAAATGCATCTGGACCCCACAGTAGGTTACTGTCACCAGGCCACCCCAGGGGGGAAAGGGTGCTGTCCCTCCGCCTGCTTCCCCTAGGCGGCTCAGTGGCCGCCATTCTCCAGAGGCCATTGGACAGTCAGGTTTGGGCCCCCAGTGATGAGACACCTGGGGCCTCAGGGAATGGGGGTGGGGCCAGCCCTTTCCTCCCTGTCCCAACGAGACCCCGAGTCACCGCCCATGAATGGCCTCTCTGGCTCCTGATCAAGCTGCTTAACGGTCATGATCCCAGTGACTCAGGAACAAATTTCAGAACCCAGCAGGTTTCGGTAAGAAATCCCTCCAGATTTAAGTGTTAAAATTTTGGAATTTCAAAATTGTGCAGCCACTACTGCAGCCACGCGACATCATATGTTTTTCTTAACCAGCAATAGAAAACAAATTGTCTACTGTTGCCTTTTCAGCAGATCTGAGTGCTGGGGTAAAATCCCAAATAATAATGGTGGGTCTGGTGTCAAAATATTGAATGTGATCAAAGTAAAGAGAGAGTAATGTGGAAATCATCTGCCCCACAGGTAGGGGGAGGGTGTGGGATGGGGGTATACTGGGGTTTTTGGTGGTGGAGAATGGGCACTGGTGAAGGTATGGGTGTTTCATTGTATAACCAAGACTTATACCTGAAAGCTTTGTAACTGCTCTCATGGTGATTCAATAAATAAAATTATAAAAAATGGAAAAAAAAGTAAGGTGGAGTTCATGTCCAATTCAACCAGCTAATCAGTGGCTGAATAAATAGCAGGACTCCTTCATTAAAATAAATAAATAAATAAATAAATAAATAAATGGTCAGTAAATAGAGGCAGCACTTCAAATATCATAATCACCATCACCACAAACATGATCACTATTAGCACCATCATCATCACCATCTTCATCATACCATCACATATCATCACTATCTTCATCATCACCATCATCACTTGTTCTAAAGTAAATATAATGGACATGGAATAGAAGGGCTTTTTTTGCTTGCTTGTTTAAAAAGGGACAAACTTAAGCACTTTTTATTCTCAGAAAAAGAAAAGAACTTATTGAATTAAATCCCCTCCCAGGCACCCAAGTAAGGCTCCTGTTTCACCAAAGGGCCAGACCATACCTTTTCTTCTGAAGAAACAGTCAGTTTATCACTGGATATCAAGCTGCACACCTGGTCCAGACTTAGGCTAAGAAATTCTTCCCCCAGCATCACCTCTGGAAAGTGCTGCTCTGTTCCAAAAGAAAAAGCAGAAGTTAGAAAACATAGTTATAACCCTCTCCTACTCTGCTCTGCCCTGAACCAAGTTGGCACCCATCTGTCTGATTCTGAGTGGACACATAAACGGATGTAGAGGAATTTCCAGAGGACAGAGGGGACACAGGAAAAGGAAAATGATAGCACAGGCTGACTGGAGGAAAACTGGCCTTTCCACTTAGCAGGAAGATTCCCTCTCTGTGAGTCGCTGTCCTGAACATCATCACTTGCAGAAAGGGGGCAGAAGGCTGCAAGGTTCCATTCTTACCAGGCTCCATGAGATTAATAATGGTGTGGCAGAAAGTGTCACTGGGACCTGCCTACTTAATTGAGCTCATTTCCCAACAAGGCGCAAGCTGGCAGAGTGGCAGAGTTCGGCCCTCTGTGGCTCAGCCAAACCAAAGTAGGTCAGAAGTGCCATGTGAATGGAAGTCTCTAGGGATTGTGGGAGGGAGTCAACATTAGGTTGGTAGAGAGGGTCTTCCTTTCCTGTCTATGATAAGTCTCTGACTCCAAGGGAGAACAAAGCATTTCTCCTGGTATGGACCACGGGGCTGCCCTCCTCCCCCTAACCCCCTTAGAGCAGCCCAAGCGTCCAGGACTGTGGTAGTTGCAAGTCACAGCAGACACTTCAGAACACTAGAGCCATGCAAAGGCTACAGAGCTGAGGTTTCCTTCAAGGTAAATGCCAAGAACAATTCCTCCTCCCAGATATTTGCCCAAGCCACCTGCCTGCCATAAAAAGACAGCACAATGTTTGTAAGAGAGCATGTATGCACTTCAAAATAAGGAACCTAGACCATGCCTGGGCTTTGCCACCGGTGAGTGGATCTTGAGCCAATGGCATCACCCCCCTGGGCTTCATCCATAAAATGGGGAAGACACAGCTTGTCTCATCCCCTTCCCTTGCTCTGATGGCAAGAGAGCTGTCAGCATTTTCACAACCTTCACCAAAGTGAGCCCAAGCACAGCTGACAATTACTGGTGCTGTGGACTGACCCTTCATCAGATGACCCTTCATCACTTGCCCCCAAACTCCCCGTTTCCCAGTTCTCTTCAGCTCTGAGGAGTTGCTCCAAGAAGCATTCACCTCTGTGGCCCTCCAAGTGTCAGGTGTCTCTGGTAGCCTCTGGGGTAATTCTCAAGGACAACATCCGCCAGTACCCAATGAGGACTACCCATGCTTGGTGTGCCAGCACCTTCTGTGAAATTTAAGGATTTGAGTTTTATCCTTGACAGAAATGTCAATTTGGTTTTATGTAGAAAAGGAAGATCAGAGCACACTAATTCTCTCTCACACATTTGTGAACTTCTTAAAAACTAACAAAGAACTAAAAGCTAACCATAGCTTATAAAAATTCATTTAACTTTTTACATAGAAATAAATTCAGGAGCTGGAGCAATAGCACAGTGGGTAGGGCGTTTGCCTTGCACCCGGCTGACCCGGGTTCAATTCCCAGCATACCATATGGTCCCCTGAGCACTGCCAGGGGTAATTCCTCAGTGCAGAGCCAGGAGTAACCCCTGTGAATTGCCAGGTGTGACCCAAAGGCAAAAAAAAAAAAAAAAAGAAAAGAAAAAAGAAATTCAGACCCAAAGAATTCTCACATACCCTTCACCCAGATTCCTTATGTTAATGTTTTACTCTCACAGATGATGTTAAAGAACCTCAAGATAGCTTCCAGGGTTTGAGCAAACACTAGCATAAGGGAGTCCTGGACTTAATCCCTAATCCTGCATGAGCTCCCAAGCACCACAGGGACAACTCTTGAGCACAGAGTAGGGAGTAGCCCCTGAGCACTGCTAGTCTTGACCCAAAATTTGAAAAAAAAATGTTATAAACAATCTTTTCTTTCATTAGACAAAAAGAGAGTCTACTCTTATTCCCCACATTGAAATCACCAAGGCTTGTGCATTGGGAGGCTTGAGACCATTTGTACAAAATAAGGCAATTTTAAAAGTCAGACCCTTAGGAATGAAAGCAACTGTCATAAAGTAAGAAGCTGTGTCACCCCATTCAAAATTTTTGAATTCCTGGAGCGACATCTTAAACTCCATACCACTGACAAACCAGGAATAGTCCACCACATTGGATGGGATATAAAGTAGAAGGTCTTACATCTGTGGCAACAGGAGAAAGCTTAGATCTTAGGTAAGACATTCGAAAGAGGAGCCAGAGGAAGAGTATCAAAGATAAGGTGCTGGCTTGGCATGTGGCCACCGCTGGTTGATTCCCTGGCATCACATATGGCCCCCAAACACCACCAGGAATAATTCCTGAGTGTAGAGCCAGGAGTGACCCCTGAGCATTGCCAGGTGTGGCCCACAAACAAATAAAAAACAAATGCAAATACTTTTAAAAATTATTGGAAATAAATGCAGCTACCACACTATGATAAAACACAGATATCAAAGGTCTGTAGACTACCATACAAGCCACGCAAAAATCAAAAGGCAATATCCCTGTGACCCAGAACCTTATGTGTGTTCTCACCTTTGTCTCTGATTAGACAAAAGCCTGACATTTGGAGAAGGTGGGGGGATGGGGGAAGAGTGCAAAGAATATGAGAGAGCAAAATTCTGGGCTGTGAAAATAACTTCCTCATAGTACAAAATGCTCAAGTGTTGGATTTTGAAAAAAAGAAGAAAACAGACATGAAACAATGTATGTATTTACATGGACTGGAGAATGAACCAGAATTTCTCCAACATATTAAGGGCAGTATAGTATGAGACTAACGCCTGAGGACAGTATTTCTCCAACATATCAAGCCTGGCAGTCACAACCATGAACTGCCTCTGGCGCCATATAAGCTCATTAACCGGCCATGATCCAGAAACTCAGAAATAAATCTCAAAAGAGATCAACAAGTTACAGAGATGCTTCTGGACCCCATGCAAGGCTCTGTCATCTGGAACAACTTAACTCATTATCCAGTCAGAAATTTAATTCCAGCTGTATCACCCCATTCAAAATTTTTGAATTCCTGGAGCAACACCTTAAGCTCTATACCACTGACAAACCAGGAATAGCCCACCACATTGGATGGGATGTAAAGTAGAAGGCAACCAATCTCAATAAAGAAAATATAAACCTGCATTATATATATGTATATGTGTATATATATGCATATGTGTGTATATATATACATATATACATATACACATATAAAGGCTTAACCTATAAGAACATGTTAGTAATCTCTTCTACAAAGACTAATGGCTCCATGGTGAGATACAACAATATTCCCACACTTTCTTCTAAGGAAATATTTTTTGATAATTTTTAGTGAATTATAACACACAATATAAAATAAATTATAAATAAATTATTTAGGGTCTGCTATAGGGGCAGGCCTGAGGGATGGTTGGGAAAATTGGAAATAATGGTGGTGGGAAGGTGCAATGGTGGTGGGATTGGTGTTGGAATATTGAATAAATAATAAACAACTTTATAAAAATAATTTTTAAATGACATTTAGGGGCTGGAGAGACAGTACAGTGGATAGGGCACTTGTTTTGCATACAGCCAACCTGGGTTCAATCCCCAGCATCCCACATTGTCCCTGGAGCACCACCAAGAGTGATTCCTGAGCATAGATCCAAGAGTCACTCCTGAGCACCACTGGGTGTGGCCCTAAAACAAATAAACAAAAACTGTACAAAAAATTCCTCATTGAGTAGCTGTAGCTCAATTTGAGTAGTATCTGTGTAGTAGTTGTTGAGTAGTCTTGAGGTGTAGTAGCTTAACTTTGGTGTCAATCCAAGTGCTCAACCCTCACATCTTACCCCTGAACTGAGACCTGTCTAACTAGCTTTATGAATGTGATTTCTGTGCTCCTGAAAATCCACAAACAGGACATGGAAATTACCACTGCCCCAACCATCCAGTTTTTTCCTTGAGGCCTTTCTCACTGGGACTGTGAGGCCCACGGAGGTAACTGTGTAGGGTGTGTTGAATTCTCAGTACCCAGAACAATGTCTATGCCGAGTTCCCAGTTATAATTGCACTCCCTGTCGATTCTTCTGGTGCAGTGCTCAGACAGCCTCCACAACTAGTCTGAAGCCCATACTTCCCTCTTGAGAGGATGAAATATACCTAATCCTTTGATCAAGTTCATCTAAATTTGGAGGTGTGGAACACTGGCTCTTGAACCTGCAGAGATGAAATGGGGGACCTCACAGTAACCAAGTAATAGGGATGAGGATCTGTGCTGAAACCCCAGGCTGAAACCTCTGAGGAAAGATCAACTCACACAAGTGGACATACAAGTAGAAGCAAAACATTTTAGCTGGGTCAAAATGAAAACAACTCTTCAACTCTCTCTCTCTCTCTCTCTCTCTCTCTCTCTCTCTCTCTCTCTCTCTCCTCACTCCCACCCCCACCCTGTCCTTAAATCCTCTTTCAAATAGTACTTGGCTACTTGGTTTTTGGAGCCCATGGTTTCCATGCTGGAGAGAGAAAACTCAGTTCACACAATGAAGTTACAGATACTACCTTGACTTCTTCAATGAAAGTCATGACCATCAGCCCTCAGATCTAGTATTATTACTACTACTTCACTTTGACTTAAACCCAAAAATGATCTTTCCTACACACCATCACTCCCTTCTCCTCTCTCTCTTTCTCTCTCTCTCTCTCTCTCTCTCTCTCTCGCCCTCTCTCTCTCTCATACACACACACACAAAGGGCTATATTAAATCTTCCCAGTTATCATATCAGCACTATTGACTCCGCATCTGAGTTCCCTGTTACACAAAGAATGGAAGCAATGAGGGGTATTTCCTAAATCACAATAAGGAGACCTGATAGCAACAAAAACTAACTGGTCTGTACTACTGCTTCATTTGCCAGCATCAGAAGCAGAAAAAAAAAAATCAGGAAGACAAGAAGTGAGGCAACCACCTCAGAAAGGGATGCCTGGGCCAATGGAACAAGGACTGTCTTCAGCACACAGGATCTGTAGACAGTCTC